TGTATATAGCAACAGCAATATTGTTTGAAGGATAACTGTGAACAAATAAGCTATTCTGAGTATTATAAATATTCAAATCAACAACAAAGGACCTATGAAGGAAGATGCTATCTACCTCCAGAGAAAGAACTGATAAATAGAAGTATGCATAGTAGGTGTGTGTGTGTATCTATGTCAAATGATGATCTTCTCTAGTGTGAGGTGGGGAGAGAGGGAGGGAGGGAGTTCAGAACTTAAAATATAACAAAAAATTAAATTAAATTTTTTAAAAATAAAATAAAAGGAAGGAGCTGTGCCTTTGAAAATACTAAGTTCTCCCATCACTGGACATATTCAAATAGAAGATGAATAACTACTTGTCTGAGATGATGTTGAGGGAGATTCCTATTCAGATACAGGTTGGACCAGGTGAGCTCTGAGATCCCTTCTAATTCTTATTCAAATCGGGAGAGCAGAAAGACGAGTCATCTTCACTATCAAGGTAATGGAAAAATGGAATGGACTCTTGAGGAAAAATAATAAGATTCTCTGTTTCTGATGTTCTTCAAAAAAAAAAAAGAAAAAGAAAAGGACAGGTCCTGTCAACTGTCCCTGGATGGCCTTTCATATTCCAGTCAAATATTATTATTTGACCTTTAATGCAAAAAATCCCTTTCCATAAGGCAAGGGGCTAGATCATAACTTTGTAATTCTCTGATATGCTGACACTTTTTTTGGATTGGATTGATGGGACATAGCAAACAAAGCCTCACAGGCAGGCACTATCTTACAAATGCTATTGTACCTTTGGGTCTCCATATTGTATTTTGTAATTCAATTACCCTTACACCACATTTTACAACACATTCTAAATGGATATATGACCTTAATATTAAAGATCATATTATTAAACATTTTGAAGAGAAGCAGATCACATATACCTCTCACAGCTATGAGTAGGAAATATATTCTTAATCCAAACAACAGATAGAAGAAATTACAAGATAGAACATAAATAACTTTGATTACAAGAAACTGAAAACCTTCTGTACAAACAAAACTAATGCACCTAAAAGAAGAGAAGCAGTTGAATATGGGGGAAAAACTTTGTATGAAGGTTTGGTATATTCAATACATATAAACAGTTAACATTTATATAGAACTAAAAGCCATTCCTCAATAGATAAGTAGTCAAAGGATATGGGGCAGCTAGGTGGTACTATGAATAAAGTCCCAGGCCAGGAGTCAGGAAAACTCATCTTCCTGAGTTAAAATCTGGCCTCAGACACTTCTTACCTGGACATAGTCAATCTAGTTGGTTGGCTGTAGTCCTTCATTCCTGAAGAGGACCAAAATGACTACGCTAGAGTCAAGTTTCAGTGTGTCCAACTGTGGCTGATCAGATCAATACAAGCTCAGAATGTTCTACCATGGATCAGGCACAAATACTCTGTTGAACATTTGGGGTGGATTCACTACATTTGTGCATCCTGTGTTTCCTTTGAGTTGTTTTAATTCTACTTTGCTCACAGAGCACGGCACCTGCTCTAATGTGGGCGTACCCATGCTGAGCAGTCCTGTGCCGGTGTCTTACATGTCACACAATTCCAAAGTTCTTAAGAGAGACCTTGAGAGTGTCCTTGTATTACTTCTTCTAACCACCATGTGAACGCCTGCCCTGTGTGAGTTCTTCATAAAATAGTTTTTTGGCAAGCATACGTTTTGCATTCGAAAAACATGGCCAGCCCATTGGAGTTGTGCTCTCTGAAGTAGAGTTTGAATGCTTGGCAGTTTAGTTCAAGAAAGGACCTCAGTGTCTGGTATCTTATCCTGCCAGCTGATCTTCAGAATCTTCCTAAGACAATTCAAATGGAAGTGATTAAGTTTCTTGGCGTGGTACTGGTATACTGTCCACATTTCACAGGTATACAACGAGGTCAGCACAACGGCTCTGTAGACCTTCAGTTTGGTAGTCAGTCTAATACCACTTCTCTCCCACAGTTTCCTTTAGAACCTCCCAAACACTGAGCTAGCTCTGGCAATACCTGAGTCAACTTCATCATCAATGTGTACATCCCTGGAAAGTACATTGCCAAGGTAAGTGAATTGATCCACAGCATTCAAAACCTCTCTATTTGCTGTATGTTTGGATGATAAGGTGCTGGCTGATGGAGCACCTGTGTTTTCTCAGTGTTAAATATTAGGCCAAAATTAGCACAAATAGCAGAGAATTGATCCATACTTTGTTGCATCTCAGCTTCAAAGGCTGCATTGAGTGCACAATCATCTGTAAACAGAAAATCACGAACCAACACTCCTTCCACTTTGGTCTTGGCTTGTAGCCTTTTCAAGTTGAAGAATTTACCATCCGTGTGGTGGCTGACCTTGATGCTGTTTTCATCCTCATTGCAAGCATTTGACAACATGGCTGAAAACATCATGCTAAAAAGCATGGGAGCAAGAACACAGCCTTGTTTCACTCCATTGGTGACTAGTAAATCTAGTAGCTCCACTTGAAACACAGTGGGTTGGTCCAGAGAAAATATACTGAGTTAGCTCAGGAAATTGTCCCAGCTTTTATAAAACACCTAGCCCCTCCAAACCTGTAATAGCTTACCAAAAAAAGTGGTCAAATATATTCCTATGGACAGAGCACCCCTGTGTAGCTACAGAATGAGGCATGTATATAGAGAGAGGCCCACACACGGTGAAAAGCCTGTCACTATGTTGTTTGATGGGAGGCAGAATAGACATTTCTAGCCTCTTCTCGTCCCGCCCTTCCTCAAGAGAGGTTTTCATTCTTGTTGGGGGCCATCTCCAGTTCCTGATCCATATCTTGCCACTGGTCCCAGATGACTCTGGAGGAGAAAGTGAAGCTGGTGACTTTGCACAGCCCTCCCTCACTTAAATCCAACTCACTTGCATGTCATAGCATCACCTCCCTGATGTCATGGTCCTCTTGGAGAACAAAAGAAAAACAACAACATTCCTGTCAGGAGAAGAAGCAGGAAGTTGGTACTGAAAGCCACCACTCTGCTTTTCTCAGAAAGAATGAGTGCCAGGTTAGAAGTCTATCTACTCCCTTAAATAGTATTAACTTAAGGAATGTAATCAGGTTTGAGCTAACTTTTGATTGCTTTATCATTTCTGGGCGGCAGGGTGACCCCAAGCTCTAACAATGAACACAAACAGCAATAGCAAAGAAGTCCATTTATCCAAATTGTAGCAAAGCAGAAATCGGAGAAGGTATACATAGGAGCGTATATGCTAGACAATCCAGAGTGAAGGAAGGAGTTTTCCCATTGGGAATAATAATAACTCAGCTCAAGCAAGAGAGAGGGCCTTGGACCTCACCCAAGGGGAAATATACCAAAGTCTAAAGTAGCAAGCTGGAAATTGGAACATGATGGAGACTGCCTGCTCTCATGTCTTCCCAAGAGTCTCTTCCTTCAGCAATCTGAAATAGGGTTGGATTCTTCCATCTTTTATCTCAAAGCTCGAAGAAGACTCACTTAGAAAGTCCTGAAGGGAAACTCCTATTTGAAGAGTCACCAAAGGGGCGACTGGCTGAGTACTGAAGCTCTTGCCTCTCACCAACTCCTCTGCCCCACCTTTACAAAAGACAGGGCATTCATCTCCACGAATAAGGAGAGAGTTCCATACCAATGGCCTTTGGGACAGGGGTTACCCACAGGTTAGGTGACTTACTCAGGATCATACAGCTAAGAAGCAACTGAAGCTGAATGTGAGCTCAGGTCTTCCTGACTTCAAGCCCAACTCTGTATCCACTGCACTACCTAAAAGAATTTATGTTGGGTAATATGAGTTACTGGAAAGAGTTATTCTTTTGAAAGAAATTGGCTCCTAAAATCAACTAATTTCCTTTCTCTGTAATTCCATGATCACCAAATAATCTTTTGCTTGGTCAGTTATCTGGCTTTTCCAGATAAGCTCTTTGATCCTGGAAAAGCAGATGATCTGGCTAGAGAACTTGAATATTTAGAAAATGAAAAGATAATACTAACCACCCTCCTGTCCTTTTTATTTTTTTTAAATTTTTAAAAAAATTTTTAGGCAGTTGGGGTTAACTGACTTGCCCAGGGTCACACAGCTAGTAAGTGTCAAGTGTTTGGTCTGAGGCCAGATTTGAACTCAGGTCCTCCTGACTTCAGGGCTGGTGCTCTATCCACTGCGCTGCCTAGCTGCCCCTTGTCCTTTTTATTAATTAATAAATTGGCATTCCTGTTTACAAATCAATTTCTTGTGGGTTTGGTTATTGCAAATCAATGATGGGTCCTGATCTCCACTGGGTGAAATGATAAAATTAAGGTCTTAACCCTCTAAAGCAGCCCATTGTGCCAGAAAAATCACTGGAGTGTGAGTCAAAAGACCCAGGTTCTAATTTCACTTGTAACATTAACTCTTTCGGTGACTTTAGGCAAGTAATTTTGCCTGAATGAACCTCAGTTTTCTCCTTAATAAAATAAAATTTGAAATAAAGTTTGTTTGAAAGTTCCCTTTCAGTTCTAACAGGTAATGGATCCTAAACCTTATGGGCCTACATCAGACAGTAACTTTGGAGTTCATATTAAACTGACACAGCACAATACTAAATGGTACTGACTTGTAGAAATAAACTAAAGGTAGAACTAGTTAAATTCAATAAAGCACCTTACCTTTTTTGTGGCACTTCTAAAAGTAACCATCTCCACAGTCCTTGCTTTGCCCCTCGGTCTCTTGCCGAGTAGACAGACTCCGGTAATCTGAATACCAGAAGCAGCAGGAAAAGAAAATCCTCAGGGCAAGTTAGTTGGCAGATAAACCTGGAAACTAGACTGCGGGGTCAAGGTTAGAGTCAGCCTGAAGTTATCAGAACTAGCAGAGGCGTAAGGAGACACTTGGTTCACTTTTCTCCTTTAACTGATTGGCTAACTACAACAGTGGAGATTTTTGATTGGCTGAATCTAAAAGTAGTCTGAGTCATGACTGCAGCACTCTGTGGACGAGGCAGTCCCAGAGGATTTATACCTAGGTTTTTGACTACAACTCTCCTTTCTCCTAAGAGGGCACCGAACTTGCCGATCGTACCTGAGTCTGCGCTGCGCTAAGTGAGTCCTAAGGCTTGTGTATGAGCTCCAAATTTCTTTTTCCCTGTGAGACTCTAGTCCTAACCCACTCTCACCTCTTGTCTCGGTTCTCTTCTAATCCTTTCTCCGAGCCTCTTTCCTCAGTCTCCACCTCAAGGATGGGGAGATTTGGGTGCAATTGCCCAAAGGGACTTCGAGGGAGAGGCGATTGTAAAGCTAAAGACATCTCCCCACGCCACCTCCCAATTCCTCTAACTTCTTCCCTTCTTCCCCCTTCAGTCTTTTACAGGATTCCGCCCCTGGACCTTTTCCCTTCTAGAGATGCCTAGGATAGATCTCACATCATGCCTCTCCCTGAGTCAAAATTCACTCCTTCACGGATTCCTGGGCTCCTACGGAGCGGAGCTACGGCCTCACCTGCTCCTCCGCCCCTGCTGGGTTCGGCAGCCCAAACGCCAGCACCCGAAGAAACGGGTGGTATTCGCTGACAGGAAGGGACTGCCTCTGATCACCGTGCACAATTTTTCTTGTGATGTTACAAATCCTAAAGAAGAACTGCCGCCCTTGAGCAGAATGGTGCAGCCGGTGCCAGCCTGCCCCACGAAGGTGTCCAGCTATGCCCTTGGTTTCTCTCAGCCCTTGGATGACTACGGTTGCTTCTGCAGGTGTCTGAAGGCCCAGAAGGTGTGCCTGGAACAGTGTGCCATCCAGGGGCGCTTCTTGCAAGGTACCGTTCAGGTGCACAACCTGGGATATGAGAAGATTGTGCAAATGCGCATCACTTTCGATGCCTGGACTTCTTACCTTGACGTACCCTGTGTTTATGTGCGTCACCTTTTCGGAGGTGAAATAGACACCTTCGCTTTCCAGATGGCACTGCCCAGTGGTCCCCCAGGCCCAGCTGGTACCATCCAGTTCTGCTTCTCTTTTCAGTGTGCTGGGCAGATTTACTGGGACAATAACCAGGGTTGTAACTACCACCTGAAGCCCTCAGGCTTCGTTCTTAGCGTGCCCTGTCAGTGAGCGTCTCTCTGAAACTCCTCTTTGAGCCGCCACAGATGGGTTGCCTATTTTCTTTGCTGACATCTAAAGGTTTTTCCTCTGACTAGCGGGGCTTGTACCTAGTCTGGGGCATGAAGGCGTGTTTTCTTTCCAGTGGTTTCAACCTTTTCTGCTCCTAGAGTTACAGTAAGACCAATAAATACCTGAGCTAAGTTACTAACTGGACATAGAATTCAAGTGCTTTTCTTCCTCACGCAAAAGCCAGGAAGGCGATTCCAGTTTTGTGTGAGTTATGGGTGTTGTTTTAAGATGTGAAGCTTCCTTTAGGAAGACACTGGGGGTACTGTTCTTTTGCAGAATTTTAGGGTTGATTTTAAACTGGGGGGGGGGGGGGGAGTTTCAGTTAATGTTTTAATTACCAGTATACTCGTATAGAGACAGCTATGTGGCTTAGTGGATAGAGCACTGGGCCTGGAGTCAGGAAGACCTAAGTTCAAATGTGATCTCAGACACTTAATAGCTGTGTGATCCTTGGTAAATCACTTAACTTCCATTTGCCTTAATCCACGGAGATGGAAATGGTAAACTACTCCAGTTTCCTTGCTGAGAAGAATGACTATTAAATAACCAATTATTAGAGATCCAGGGTTTTTTTTTTTCCTTCCTATTTACTCATTCTCTACTAGGTCAAGCCAGCATCTGAAGGACTTTGCTGATAATAAGATCGAATTAGCTTTCTCCTCAGTCTTGTTCAGACTCCACACAAGTGGGGAGGCCTATTATGTTCCACTCAGGCTTGGGTAGGGGGAGTAGACCCTTTATCTAGATTACCCAAGGCTGGAGTGGTCTGGGAGTAAGCGGGACATAATCAGTTACTTTCCCCAGCCCCTCATTAGAATAGGCCCACCTCACATTATAATATCCATTCTCTCATTAATTGTTAACCAATCAGAGTTAATTGCCACATGTTGGGAATACCCCCCCAATCTTCCAAGAGCAGATGGGAGCTGCGAGAAGCCTCCAAGATCTGTCTTTGGTTCATGAGAGATGGCAAAATGACCAAGCCTTTTAATTAATTATCCATTAGCAATAATTAATAAAATGATTAATTACCCAGAAACTATGTCTCTTGGACTTTGTATAAGTCACATTGCCAAGAAAAAACCCATGATAGTGTTGGTATGCTATGGTCCACAGAGTCAGGAAGCACTGAACACAACTGAACAACAATAATCACATACTCTAGCAGAAGGTGCCTGTAGGGAAAAGGGTGCTTTTCTGGTCTTCATACTAATGACAGCAAAGGCAGAGAATGTAAGCATGCTGAGTCCTCCTCTATTCCTTATGCCATTACATTTATGTTTTAATTTGAAATATTTTTCTTGCCCCTAAGCATTCTTCTACCTACAGGAGGATTTATTTTTTTAAAAATGCAGCTGTTTGTGAAAGGGTAATTTAAATCTGCCTCTTACCTTCACATCTCAACTTTGTCTTTTTCTTGATTAAAAGATGTTATTTAAAATGGAAAATATATATATTTAATAATTTATTCTATTAAAAAATAATTTATCTAGAGCTGCAATTCATGTAATATGTTGACATACTTGACACCACTGTGATTCTAGTAAAATATCTTGGGCTATTTAAACTCTGGAAAAACTTTTCTAAGTTTAACTGATGATGTAAGAGCTTTAATAAAAGTTATTTTCTTATTCCTTGCCTAATTACTTTACTTGTCCTACAATCGCTTGTAGTAGTTAAATGCTTCATGAATGCAGTTATTTGCAATTGTTGGGAGTGAAAGTTATGGCGATGATGAGCAAGCTGCAATGGTTTTATTTCTCTGACTAAACTGCCCCTAAGCAGGTTCACTTGTAGGGTGCAACAAGATCCATGCTCTGCCAGTATCCCTAGGAATGGTTATCCCTCCCCCTCATTCCCTCATCTCTGCCTATGTCTTTCAATTTTGACTCCACTGAAAGAAACTGGGGCAAATTTTGTGTCCAGCTGCAAGTCTGAAGCAATATTTCATTGTTAAGAGTAATGAAAATTAAAATACAACCGTAAGCTGGTAGCCAGGTTTGAACACCAAATTTGCATGGCTTTCTTTAGTTCTTCAAAGTACTGAGACTTCAGTAGAACTATTATCTCTTCTGGCTAAAGTCCTACTTTCCATAAAATACTTACATTGAGAAACCACAGTGTGCACATAGTAAAAAGAAGACATAATCCTTGACCTCTTGGAGCTTTTTTTTCTATTGGTTTTATTTTTTATTTTTTTCAAAATGTTTTATTAATTTATTTTGAATTATCAACAAGCACTTCCATAAGCTTTTGAGTTTTAAATTTTTCTCCCCCTCCCTCCATCCCACCCTCCCCAAGATGGCAAGCAATCTAATATAGGCTATATATATACATTCTTATTAAACATATTTTCACATTAGTGATGTTGTAAGAATTAGAACCAATAGGAGGAACCACCAGAAAGAGGAAACAAAACACAACAGAAGAAAAAAATAGGAAATAGTATGCTTCGATCTGCATTCAAACTCCATAGTTCTTTCTTTGGATGTGGATAGCATTTTCCATCATTAGGCTTTTGGAGATGTCTTAGATCCTTGCATTGCTGAGAGGGGTTAAGTCTATCAAAGTCAGTCATCGCTCAGTGTGGCTGTTACTGTGTACAACAGTTCTCCTGGTTCTGCTCACTTCACTCAGCATCAGACCATACAAGTCTTTCCAGGTTTATCTGAAGTCTGCCTGTCCATCATTTCTTATGGCACAATAGTATTCCATTACATTCATATGTCACATTCATAATTATGATTACTATCTGTGTCTTTCTGTCTATCCATTCCCCCCACCCCATTTATGCTTTTCTTTCTCCTTTCTCGATTTCCCTCCTCACTAATGTTTTGCTTTTGACCACCACCTCCCTCAGTCCCACCTCCCTTCTATTAGCCCCCTTCCTTTTCTTTCCCCTTTCCCCTCCTACTGCCTATAGGGCATGTTGGATTTCTATACCTAACTGATTGTTATTCCCTTCTTGAGTCAAATCTGATGAGAGTAAGGTTCAAACAACGCTCATCTCCCTCCCTTCTTTCCCTCTGCTGTAATAGGTTTTTGTGCCATTTCATTTGATATGTTACCCTTGTCTGCCTCCTTCTTTCCTTTTCTCTCGGTACATTTTCTTAGTTAGATCAGATTAATTTTTTTCATCATTACATCAAAGTCAATTTATACCCACCCCCATTATGTATACTCCTTTAACATGGTGTAACCCAGTGAAAATAAGCATGATCTTTCAGGGAAGGAGATGGATATTCAACAAAATAGGGGACTTCCATGCTTTCCTGATAAAAAGACCAGAGCGCAATAGAAAATTTAATCTAATACAAGACTCAAGAGAGACATAAAAAGGTCAATGGGACAGAAAGAAACAACATGTTATTAATAAGGGCAAACTGTTTACATCCCTACAAGGGAAGATGACACTTGTAACTCTTGGCTTTATTTTTTAAATTAAGTCTTTTTTCAATTAACAAGTATTTATTTTTTCTCCCACCTCCCTTCCAGTGAGGGAATATATTTATTTAAATAAATATAGTCAAGCAAAACAAATACCCACACTGGTTGTATCTAAAAATGTGCATCTTTAGTCTATCACCTCCTTGCCAGAAAGTGCATTCTCCATGATCAGTAGGAGCTTAAATTCTGAGAGAAGACAAAACCAACAGAAAGAACATATTTTGTTTTGCCTTAAAAAATGTCCTGGGATGATACCTCATCTTTCAGAATATAAAATAAATAAAGGAACATAAATCATCAGTATTTTGTACTTTGCCTACCAAAGTCAGCAGGAAGTGATAAAAAGAGGCCCAGTAGAGAAAAGAGGTGAGAGGTGAGAAAAGCCCAGCAGGGTTAATGGCAGAAATATGATGCGATACCCAGCAGGGAGTAAGACTCAGCAGAAAAGAATAATGTAATGGCACTGCAAGAAAATATGGGTATCTCTGCAGTGTCAGAAGGATAAATTGTCCCTCCATGAATGTTACCAACATACATAGCAGTTTTATGCAACCCCTCACATATACATTCCAGTAACTGGTGTCTCTTGGATACATAATACTTTTCCCATATGTCCTGACACACTCTTAAGGTTGGCTATTAGCTGAATATGCCTGGTACTTCCATGGTTACCTCTTCACTTCTGGATTGTAGAGGGATTATTAGTTTTGTGAGCAAGGGAATGATGACTCATTAAGAATAATTATTTAGGAAAGAGTGATTCTTTAGGAAGATTAATCTGGGAACAGAATGAGAGAAGAGATTTGAGGCAAAGAGACCGTGTACCAAGCTGTTGCAATAGTCTAGTAAATAGTTCAAATATGTTAACAGTCTGAGGTAGGGTAATGACTGTAATACTGGAAAAAAGGAAATTGTGAGAGGAAGTTGGGAGGGTTTGGTGATGATAATGACAGGCAAAGAAAAGTAAAAAATGATTAAGATTTTGAGGCAAGTTTTTAAAGTGGGGGTCACAAAATAGAGAAGTCAGAAAGATCAAATTGTTTATGTGTGATTGGGGGAAGATGAGACTTTCAGTGTAAGAAATGTTGAGTTTGAGGTGAAAATGTGTTATCCAAGTAGATAACAATTCAATAGAAATCTATTTGACCATGTTACCTTTTTGTTCAAAAACTTTCAAGTGCTTATCAGTACCTCTAAGACAGGTTCTTAGCATTTGTGTCATGGACCCTTTTTGGCAGTCTGATTAAACCTATGTGACACCTCAGAATAATGTTTTTAAATGCATAAAATCCAAAAGATTACATAAGAAACCAATTATGTTGAAACACAGTTGCCAAAATATATTTTATTTAAAGTAAATGAACACCAGGTTAAGAACCCTTGCCCTAAGATCAAATACAAACTCCTCAGCCCAGCAACTAAGGCCTTCCTAAATCTGGCTCCACCCTCCCTTTCCTGCCTCAACATTATTCCTCTTAATGAAGCCTTTGCTGTAGCCCAGAACCATAACTAGGGGGTGTGGCGATGAGCTTTTCCCAGCACTGAAATTTAAGGCATGTTAACATTCAGAATCCCTTCATTTCAAAGTTGGAAGAGACCTCAGCGGGCACATCTGAACCCAAATCTGAAGAATCCTCTGTGCAACACACCCAACAGTCATTCATCCTTTGCTTGAAGACATCTGTTTCGGCCAGAAACCCGGAGGGTCTTCCCCTCTCAAACTGATTTTGTTTTTGCTTTTTGCTTTACCTCATTTTTATTAAGCCTTAATCACTGAATGGGAATTGCCTCAGTCAAATTGAGACCTGTTAAAGATCTTAGCTTGAAAAGGCCAAAGTCCCCCACAACATCCTGGCCCATCTCCAGTCATCCTGATGGATATTTTGCCACTGGACTCAGACGACTCTGGAGGAGAAAGTGAGGCTGGTGACTTTGCACAGCCCTCCCTCACTTAAATCCAATTCACTTGCAAG